TGACTTTAGTAAAATAATTCGGTTCAATGATTTTATTATGAACAACTTTGAACATGCAAATTAACTCGTATTTGTCCCGACTTGAAAAGCAAGCACTAAGAGAAACTCTTATATTGACCAACAACTTGCTTTGCCGAAAATATATCCACTCATTCACTTCGAAAACCCTTTTACCAAATCCTTCACCGGTCATACTCCCGTATGTAGTTTGATAACTGCCAAAATCATCGGTTATAGATAGTCCTTTAATGCCAGATTGCCTACGTTCATCCAAGCTTAAACCGTTAGCAGTCAAAATAAAACTCGACTTCTGAAACAGAGAACACCACAAATCTAACAAATCTAACGCCGAAGTTGTCTCACAATCCTTCACAGCATAATCTATAGGGATTCTACTATTCCTGGTATCGGATAATAGTGAATAACTGCCAGAAATAATGAAAATATAGCAGAGCCATAACAGCCGTGACGCCATTGTTCAACGCCAACTCTGTATAACCTTGCGAAGTTTGCCGTTTTTCAGTCATTTTGCATTACAATAATGAGAAATTGATAATCAGATGATCAAACTGATTATAAATTTCCCGTTTGTAATATAAAATGACTGAAAAACGGCAAACTTCGCAAGGCTATATTATCTGCATTTTACAACATTTCGCAACGAATTTTCGGAATATTACTAATAAATTTTTGTCCAGACTTGTCTAGATCAATTATACTTCGAAACAGTCGCCTCATATAACAATGTGTAACAAACTTTATTTCGCTCCAAACTACTTAAAATACAGCGATTTAACTAAATTAACATAAATTAACATAAACTTTAACACTCCCATAAGTCTCTGCGCGTCCATTTCTTCTTCGCTATTTTATTTCGCTCCTAAAAAACAATGGATTTCACAAGTCGTGGTGAAGAAAATCCTGCTTGTGGTTCAGCCATCCCGCCTGTAGTCGTGGTTCCTGAGGATGGACAAGGTAACGTTAGCCCTACTTCACTTGTTGAGAAAATTTTTAACGATCCAGAAGCTTTGACAATGCTTCGCAAAGCAATTTTAAACGAGGAATCTGGTGAAGCGCTCAAGGCTCGCCACCCTCAGGAAAAAAATGCTGGAGCGCTCAAGGCTCGAGAAACAGCAACAACTCTCGAAGGCCCGGCGACTAAAAGGCCAAGAAGGGCGGACAGTCCTCCCACAGTGGAGACTGATGAGAATGTAGAGTTTGAAGAGAATTTCTTGGGCGGAAATGATGAGTCCTTTGAGATTATTGATGACGAGGACGGGCAAGCCCAGTCTGCATCTCGATGGCGTCCGAAGAGTTGTCATCCTTTTTGGATACTATTCGAAAACCATTATCATCCTTTGAGAGGAAAATTATTTGTCGAAAATATCCTCGTCCAGACGTGGACTCTGTTTATACACCAGATTTGGATGACTATCTCACCAGTCTCGTCCCTGGAGTGAAAGCGGTAGACAAGCAAAGTAAATTCCTCCAAGATCGGCTGCTTGACACCCTTGGTCCAGTAAGCCAATTGTTTGAACATATCTTTGGGATGTTGTCTCAATGTCAACCTGGCAAAACAATTGATTTGACATATGAACAGCTCAATGAGTTAGGTAGCATTACTTCTAATGCAATACGTTTATTGGGTAATACATCAGCCTTGTTATCACAAGAGCGAAGAAAAGCTGTATTACAGAAGATCAATTCACAGAGTACTCTGGCATCTTTGGCATCTGAAGAATTTCCTCAAGCCGGACGTAGCCTGTTTGGGGAAGGGTTTGAGGAAAGAATTCGTACCCGTTCTGAGACTGCAAAAACTTTACTGCAGGCAGCCTCTGTAGGAAATCGAAAACAACAGTTTTTTCGAGGCCGCACCACCCAATTCCGCAAGTTTCGAGGGAACCATGGGTTCGGTGCACAGCGAGGTTCCCACAGTTTCAGACGCAACAACTATCAACCCAACTTCAGGGGTCGGGGGAGGAGCTCGCGAGGATTCTATCGCCAACAGCACTTCAACCCAGCAACATCCAGTTAGAGCAGCAAGGTATGTATGTGAGTCCTTTCCCCTTAGCAGGACGTGTAAAACATTATTCCCAAAACTGGGCATTGATAAGCAACGCCCCATGGGTTATAGAGACAGTTCAGGGATATCATATCGATCTTTTGCAGGTTCCAGTTCAGCATGCCCTGCCCTTGCTACCTGTTCGCAGCAGAGAACAGAGTGCTCTAATCGACTTAGAGGTCAATCAAATGCTCGAAAAAGCAGCTATCCACATAGTCCACCCACACGAGAAAGAGCAAGGTTTTATAAGTGCTCTTTTTCTAGTCCCAAAGAAGGGGGGTGGCCAACGTCCAGTAGTAAATTTACGTCCTCTAAACCAGTACATCCCTTACGAACATTTCAAGATGGAAGGGATACACATGCTCAGGGACCTTCTAAGGAAGGACGATTACATGGTGAAAATAGACCTAAAAGATGCTTACTTTACGATACCGGTTTGGAAAAACCATCAGAAATTCCTTCGGTTTATTTGGAAGGAAACAATGTACGAGTTTGCATGCCTACCTTTCGGACTATCAAGTGCCCCGCGGGTGTTCACAAAGTTAATGAAACCGGTGGTTGCCCAATTAAGGAAACAGGGTATTCGTCTTATTATATACCTGGACGACATACTTATTATGGCCGAGACAGAAACCCTAGCCAATCAACATGCACAGACAACTTGCAATCTTCTGGAGGCTCTAGGGTTTGTGATAAACTATCAGAAATCCAACCTCACCCCATCCAAAAAGATGGAATTTCTGGGATTTTTAGTCGATTCCCAAGCACTGACCCTTGCTCTTCCTCGCGACAAAATTCGAAGAGTAAAGAAAGAGTGTCAGAACTCAGAATCTCCTGGATTTGCAGGTTGTCACAGTGCGAGAACTGGCCAAGGTTCTCGGTCATCTCACTTCTACTATCCAGGCTGTCTTTCCAGCCCCCCTACACTTCCGCCACTTACAGGAATGCAAAAACAAAGCTCTGTGGTTAAGTCATACGTACGAACACCCCTTCAAGTTGACCATACAGGCCAAAGAGGAGCTGGTGTGGTGGAGAGACAACCTGGATGCTTGGAATGGAAAAGCCCTGGTTTCAGGGAGTCCAGACCTGGTTATAGAGACCGATGCCTCCCAAAAGGGTTGGGGAGCATTTTGCATGGGAACGTCCACAGGGGGGCAGTGGTCCCAAGCAGAATCCTCTCTCCACATCAATTGTTTGGAACTTCTGGCCGGGGCCTTTGCTGTGAAAACATTTACCAAAGGCAAGGCCAGGATGACTGTTCGTTTGCTGATGGACAATGTGTCCGCAGCACACTACATAAACAAGATGGGGGGTACCAAATCCCCAGTTTTAGCTCGACTAGCACTCGACCTTTGGGATTGGTGCCTACAGCACGAAATCCTTGTAGAGGCCGAATATCTCCCAGGAGTGCTAAATGTTCGGGCAGACAGGGAGTCCAGAGTAATGTTGGATCGTCACGATTGGAAGCTAGACCCCCAGGTGTTTTCCACAATAAATCAGTTGTGGGGCCCACTAGAGGTAGACCTCTTTGCTTCCCGGTTGACAACCCAGCTCCCAAGATTTTACAGCTGGAGACCCGATCCACAGGCAGAGGCCTCAGATGCATTTACCCAGGACTGGAGCAAGGTGAGGGGATATGCCTTCCCTCCATTTGCTCTAGTGGGCAGATGCCTGAAGAAACTATTAGACCAGAGTGTCCCGTTTCTAGTACTGATAGCACCTCTTTGGCAATCCCAACCGTGGTATCCACTTCTCCTACAGAGTTGTATAGCGGCATCGCCAGATGGAGATGCATCCATTAATTAGACAATCTCCAACTAGCAGGTTGGCTGCTATCAGCCAATCATACACTCAAGCAGGCATTTCACAACCAGCTCAAGAATTGTTGCTGGCAGCATGGCGCAAAGGCACAGCAACTACCTATGCTTCCGCTTGGAGAAAGTGGGATAGCTGGTGTTGTGAGCGGGAAATTAGTTCAGTTCATGCCCCAATAGAAGCAATTCTTGAGTTTTTAACAACAGAATTTAACTCTAGTAAAGCGTACAGAACCCTAAACGTTTATAGGTCGGCTATATCCAGCACCCATGCTCACATTGATTTTGTGCGAGTGGGTGAGCACCCTTTAGTAGCTCAACTATTAAAAGGTGCATATAACTTGCGACCACCCCTGCCAAGGTACTCCAGCATGTGGGATATTGGGACTGTGTTGTCCTTTATAGAATCCAAAGGTACAAATAACAACTTGACACTTAAGGATTTATCACAAAAGTTAGGCATGCTGCTTGCTCTCACTGCAATTGAAAGGGTTTCGGAGGTCATTGCTCATGACCTGCGATATCGCCATTACTCCCAGGATGGAGTAATGTTCCATCTACCAGAACTTACTAAAAAGTCTAAAGTTGGGTCAACGCTAAAAATCATCGTTTCATGCTAGTTTTCCCAGCAACCCTAAACTGTGTGTTATCGAATGTTTGCGAGAGTATGAAAAGCGAACATCGGGCTTTCGCCCTAAAGATCCTTCTATGCCTAACAAACTTCTGCTGTCGCATATAAAACCCCACAAACCGATCTCTTCGGCGACTTTTGGTAGGTGGTTGAAGGATATAATTTCCAAGGCTGGTATTGACACTGATATATTTAAGGCCCATTCTGTTAGAGGGGCTGCAGCTACGTCCTCCTTTAACATAGGGATTCCTCTTCAAGATATTCTAAAATTGGCTGATTGGTCTACTGATTTTACGTTTAGGCGTTTTTATTACAAACCGACTAATCAACCATTAGTGGCTCGATCTCTACTGGCTGGTAGTCACAATTCTCAATGAACACGAGTTATTGTTGCTTTAAAGTCACATTGTTATATGAGACGACTGTTTCGAAGTATAATCACAGATTATGCAAGGGCCGCTTGCGGCCTGAAGTATAAGATGGATTATACGAGAATAAAGGAGACGAATATAACAATGTCCCTCCCTCCTCGCCCAGAGTATAAAGAGAAATTCGTGTTCATGTTGCAGGGATTTGTTTATGTTTACATTTGTGTGTGCTATTTCTTCCTTTGCAGTGACATCCTGAAGACGCTTGTTTGGTGTTTTGTTCAAGTCGACAGCGCAGAGACTTATGGGAGTGTTAAAGTTTAATATATGTTAATTTAGTTAAATCGCTGTATTTTAAGTAGTTTGGAGCGAAATAAAGTTGGTTACACATTGTTATATTCGTCTCCTTTATTCTCGTATAATCCATCTTATACTTCAGGCCGCAAGCGGCCCTTGCATAATCTGTGATTTTTGTCCAGACTTGTCTAGATCAAAATTTCACTCAAAAGGGGAAAGGTCTATTGGACTCTACTTTATTATAATTTTACTCTGTCTGACACATGAAAATTTTACTCATCTATGGGGGACAGTGCTGGCACTCAATGGGCTCATTATGTGAACAACGTATTTGAACATAGTAACATAATTAGCAAATGAAATTAACCATTAATAATAATAATAATAATAACTTTATTTATAACAGACAGCCTACAACACTACTGTATTTTAGTGCTTTTCAGCAGGGCTCTTTTCACTGAGCCGCAATGCACCCCAGTGCGCCCACTTTTTTTTTACTTGTCTATAAACGCCAGACAATTTTACTCGCCAATGGGGAAGCTCTGCAGCTTAATGGATTAAGGTGGCTCAATACAGTTTTTAAAAAAAATGAAAATTCACGATTTAGATGCGTATTTTTGGACAATTTTTACTTGTTGATAAACAAAAAGTACCTTACTTATATAAAACAACATCTAAAGAGTTTGGATTTTTGCACAAAAGTTACGCAACTGCCGTTGCTATGGCAACAATAACGTTTCAAGATGGCGGATATTTTGGCTTTAACGGCGTAATTTGACTCATAAACGACATCGGTGACCCCCAAATTTTATTTTTAAAAATGATTTCTCTTAGTATAATCAATTATTTTGACAATTTTTAAAAAATTATGTGGAGCCAAAAAAACATAATTATGAATAATCGAGGCACTAGGCCACAGAATAAAGACATACAGAAGTGTAACTTCCATTACAAAACCGTAAGGCCTTTTTTACCGAAATAGCTGGTGGCCATGTTCTTAGCAAGTGCCCTAAAGAGAGGCATTCACCCCCCTGGAATATTAAATTTTCAACATGTTTTCAGGGGGGTGACTGCCTCTCTTTAGGGCACTTGCTAAGAACATGGCGGACTGAAAAAATCCCTTCGCACTTTTAATAAGAAGATACACTTCTGTATGTCTTTATTCTGTGACTAGGCAGAGACAGAGTGCATTTGGACCTCAAAGAGTTTAAAACTACATCAAATCAACTTATCAAATATTTTGTGACCAACAGTGAGGTATTTGACCACATTTCACTGATATTTGCTGCTCCATGGTGGGAAATTGAACAAAACTTTGCATGAAAAATCAAATGCCGTACATACAATATATGCCCAACCATATAGTCCCTGAGCCAACGGCGCGGAGCGCCGTTCCGGGGCATAAGCCCGGGGTGAGGGTAGGAATGTTCGGTATGAGAAATTTCCGGTATCGGTATACCGAAAGAATTATACCGATATTATCGGTCCTTTGATGATTATAAAGGGAAATTCTAAGGGAAAACGATAATTTTGAACATGTTTCGAACGACACATACTCAGTGTAAAATCTCACTGAAGTAGAAATTCTAAATCATTGCAGTAGAAAGTTCTTTAAATTGCCATTCAGTAGTAAAATAAAGGTTATGGTTTTGCCATATAGTTGGTAAATTTAACATGTATACCGAAAAATTCCGGTATATTGGAAATTTCGGTATATCGATATGGTTGAATATCCGGTATCGATATACCAATATTGATTTAATACCGATATTTTCGGTATATCGGTAAACCGAACAGTCCTAGGCAAGGGTACTAATTCCGCCCGGCTATTTACACCCAGGGAAACAAAAGCATTAGCGAAGTCTAAAGTTCATCATTGATCGCGGGCGTGGGTGACCAACAATGTTGAGTGAGTGGTCATCCTCACTGATCTCAAAATACGTGGCACACTGTCATGAATAGTGAACACTGTTTGGTCAAATTTAAAATTTGTTGTTGTATGACAAATGACGACAGCAAAATAACAAACATTTAGCAAATATATTGAGCCTCAGTTTTTGCAAGATTTTGCAAATTTCAAAACCTTTTTGTTAGCCAAAAGTTGCCCGAATTATTTATGAAGGTGAGTTTGTGTTTAATTTGATGTAGTCTGTTTGCTTTTAGTTTTAAGAACATTTTAAAAGAGGATCTAGATGGGGTTTAATGTTAAGTGTTGAAGGCCCATATTCTATAGTGTTTAATGTTGAAACGCTAAAATTTTTGTTGTTGACTGTCATGGAAGACTTAGCAGCTAAAATGTTGTAATTACTATAAAAAGTCTAATGCATTTCAAAAAGGGCTTTAAACTACTAAATTTCAGACAAAAGAATACGAAACTATATTAAAAGCGCTGTCAGAGTGTGTTTACAGGTCTTCTTGCCCAGCACCTGCATCTTTGCCTTCATGCAGGCCAACACATGCGCATATGGGCCTGGTGTGCCAATTACAAAATATGCAAAATATGTCTTTGATGGTCTTAGAAACTTAAGCAGCGTTTACACTGTACCGTTTCCGTAGTGTTCTCGTATTGTTCTTAATCCTGAAGGGAACGCAAGACAATAGTCTAGTTCTCTCGAACAATACGAGAACGCTACGAAAACGGTACAGTGTAAACGCTGCCTTAGACGACTGTGCATTTGCTTCCCTAATACAAACTTAATTTATTTTTGTGTGATCCACATATAATTAAGTGGTTTTTTATATGTCTTCATGAAATTAGCAAAATTTTACTGTTATGTGAATTTTTTTACTGTTACTGTTAAATTACTAAAAAATCTAATGTTTACTGTTTTGGGTACCACCCCATCTAGACCCTCTTAAAACGTTTTGCGAAGCGTTTGTGGTTGAGTTTCACATTAAATTGAAGCTTATATTACATATAATAACATACCTAGCATATATATATATATATATATATATATATATATATATATATATATATATATATATATATATATATATATATATATATATATATATATATATATATATATATATATATATCCGGATAAGTCCCTTCTGCGCATGTGCCCGGCGTTTGTTTACAGGGGACTCCACCGGAAATGAACCTCTCGTTTCCAGTCCCATAATTGGCGATATACACGCGCGATGTTTATATTCCACATGAGGTGATAAGGAGCAGAGGAGGTTGGACAGCTAATTAGGCGAATCTGGGCGAATCTCTCGACCAATCAGATTGCGCCATTTTCCTAATGCTCGCATGAAGCTTTTGGCATCGAAAATTTACATAGGGTCATAAATATCGACTTCCGTCGCGATGTAATTTAATGGCGTTTCTGTCAACAATCTTTGAAGACAAAAATCTCAAATTTCCACGGTTCGATTTCGCTATTTTTTCACGATTAGTTAAACAAAAGTATAATCTTTAATTCTATCCAGCCGGCCCCCCTCGGTCCCGCAACCGTTTTCGAGATATTCACCGTTGAATATAGCCCTCTGTAAAATATGTTGCCTTGTCACTCAGATCGATAATGAACTGCTATTACTCGTTTTTTCTAAAGAAGTGTGATATATTATAGAAGTTTCGATATATTATGGATTGTATATATTGCAGTTAAAGTGTGCAAATAATTAAAGCCCTTCCGTAACAATATTTTACAAGTGAAATTTATTGTTTGTCTGATGTTTTAGATTTGAGATTCGTGATTTTGGCTGGATTCTATTTTTGATAATCATTTTGTCTGCAAGAATTAAGCATCATCATTAAATTTGGAGGTAAAATTGGTCCTTCCAATCTGTACAGACCTTCTACATCTGCAAGATCTCCGATGCTATGATTGTCTCTCCATCAGTGACCAAAACCTTGTTCACCTTTCTGGTTATGTTATTGGTATGACTTCTGGATTTTCAAAACTAACCCAGCGACAACCAGAATAACTACTCATCCACCTGTTTCAAAAATGGCTGGTAAAAGTTAACCCTGGTTTAGATGCTAAATTTGTCCCTCGAAATTTTCTCCCACTTGTTGCCAAGGCTATGTACGTACTTCATGCTGGTCAAAAAGACAATCTGATTTATCACACTGCTCGATGCTTTGGAGAACAACGCCATGGAGATGTTGGTCTGATGCCATTGGATAGAATGCCCTTTATAGGAGTGAAGGCCCACTTGGCCTTTTTTTAACAGTATTTTGTAATGATGTTACACAACTAATTCAGATAAAGTTTGAGAAGTGGTGGTTCTTTCAATGTTAAGCCCCAGAGAGGGGGGTGGGATCAGGCATATGTCGGGCATTTGATTTTTTGAGCAAATTTTCAATCAAATGCCCCACTGTTAGGTAATAAGTATTGGTCAAACACCCCACCATTTTGCAATAAATTGCAATAAATACTATATTAATAAAAGTCATTTTGGTTCAAATTACCCTAACTCAGGCCCAAAATGCTAATCAAAATCCCCATAGTGGGGATGCAATGATGATCAAATACCCTACATATGCCCACCCCCCTCTGGGGCTTGACATTGATAGGTGCAATTATATGCAGGTTTTTTTTTGTATTCTCATGTAATGTACCACAAAGTATCAGCAGCATGTTATTGTGGGACCTTTGATCAATATGTATATAAATAGACATATGTTTGTTTTATTGTTGCATTAATTTTAATGAAAAATAAAAATTACTCACAAAGTTGGTCAAGTGAATGTACAAACTATTTATTTCTTCATTTAGTACAGCACATGTTACAATTATGTACTTGTCTTAATTGCATGAGTGTGCATGACAGACTTTTTATATTTTAATTGTGTACACCCACTTATGATTAACCTAGTTTTTGTTTATGAAAATCTAAAAAGTTACCTAATTGAAATAAGATCATTTCTATAACTTGCTAAACCTAGTCAGTTACAATTATATCACAAACATCTGTCAACGTACACTCGTGCTCTCCCTTACCACTTGAGTCTCCCACTCACCACGTCGCTTTATGAAAATTTTTTGATAAAATCTTATTTTAAACAAGTCAACCCTATACTTGATATGCTGAACATAGACCTCTAAGATATCTCCTGTGGCAATTAGTGGGTGCAAATACTCGCATAGTTGAGAAGCAAGATAACCAACATGTGTCCATCCAGTTCCATAGTCTACATCAATTGCAATTGCACTTGGGTCCATTGGATTCAATGGCTCTGGCCATATTCTTACATTCACTGGTTTATCTTGTCCATGAAGAGCAAGGTATGCTGTTGATGTTGGTAATTTTTCTCATGAGCAGCACCGATGCACTTGAATGGTACAGATGGGTGATTTCGTCCTCGTCACTTTCATCCTCATCACTTAACTGGTCACCACTTTCTGCCCTATCACCTTCATTACCATATCCATCCTGACCAGGTTCAAGACCAGCCAACCACTCAAGTAGATCTCTTTCTACAAAATCATAACAAGAAAATTTTTATTTTATTATTTTGTACATAAACTGTAATCTCTAAAATTAGAAATCTAATGCAAAAGTGTGTCACTATTTACAGTAATATTTATAGAACAACACACAAATATGGCAATATTTTACAGATGAAAATTGAAAACTATCACTATTGTATGCACATATATGTAAAAATCTATCCACAACTAGATACAAACAGGCATCATACTTCAGCAAAAATTTATTAAACAATTTGTTTAACTCAAAGCATGTACATATGTATCACAGTGACACAGTACATAGACACACACAATAGGGTCAAACTAGAGGCATTTATAAACACAAATATTACGCCATATTAATTTTGTACAGTGTATTTATAAAATTACAGTACAAGGTTAAAAACAACAAAGCGGATAATAATTTGACTAAATAACAAGGTAACTGTAATGCATTGTAGTATACCAACCTTAAATATTGCGCTTGTTTTCACGTTGATGATACACGGAGATTTAACGTCATCCAAGTTCGAAAGAAGAGCCTCACTACTGGGAATATAAACACAATTCCTTCGCTCAGACGCATTATTTATCAAGCTAAAATGACAACATGTCCCATGCAAATATTTAAAAAAGGTAAACTTGGTAGTCGTTCGAAAGCTACCATATTGGTTTAGTCAGAGAGATGTTCACTCCTCGACAGTCAACAGTCAATGAAGTCACGCGCGGAATTAGGCGCTCAATACCCATGATGCTTTGCGGCCTGCTGTCCAACCTCCTCTGATTTCCTCTGATTGCGTGTAGGGTTTTATTTTTGCTGACGTTGCACCGGACAGAAATGACGTAATGTTATGATTGTGAACAAAATCAATATGGCGGACGAGACGATATCCAGCTTTTAGACTTCGAGTTAGGCTCAAATGTTGTCGTCGAAAACGATGTACCTGCAAGAAGATATCTTAGATCTGCCTTGGAGATGGAAAAAATGGTAAGAAATATTCCTGAGTTTTTATTTCTATTTGAATAATCACATAATGACAGTGCAAGCCTGACATGTGACCGACCCCAATCTTTCATTACATTGATATTTTAGGCAAATGTTTATCTGGAAGAAATGAATCTGGAACATGCGTATATTTTGTACACCAAATTGATAACGTAAGTTTTGAAAAATGGAATGTTGGAACAGCATTGTCACAACTTGTTAACAAGCTTGCTACAAGCCTGTTGAGGACATATCTTGTTGACAAGTTGTTGGATCGGCATTGTCACAACTTGTTAACAAGCTTGCTACAAACCTGTTGAGAACAATATATCTTGTTGACAAGTTGTTGGAACAGCATTGTCACAACTTGTGAAGAAGCTTGCTACGAGCCTATTGAGAACATATCTTGTTAACAAATTGTTGGAACAGCATGTCACAACTTGCTAACAAGCTTGCTACAAGCCTGTTGAGAACATATCTTGTTGACAAGTTGTTGCAACAGCATTGTCACAACTTCTGAAGAAGCTTGCTACGAGCCTATTGAGAACATATCTTGTTAACAAATTGTTGGAACAGCATTGTCACCACTTGCTAACAAGCTTGCTACAAGCCTGTTGAGAACATATCTTGTTGACAAGTTGTTGGAACAGCATTGTCACAACTTGTTAACAAGCTTGCTACAAGCCTGTTCAGAACATATCTTGTTGACAAGTTGTTGGAACTGCATTGTCACAACTTGTTAGCAAGCTTGCTACAACCCTGTTGAGAATATATCTTGTTAACAAGTTGTTGGAACGGCATTGTCACAACTTGTTAACAAACTTGCTACAAGCCTGTTGAGAACATATCTTGTTAACAAGTTGTTGGAACAGCATTGTCACAACTTGTTAACAAGCTTGCTACAAACATGTTGAGAACATATCTTGTTGACAAGTTGTTGGAACTGCATTGTCACAACTTGTTAACAAGCTTGCTACAAGCCTGTTGAGAACATATCTTGTTGACAAGTTGTTGGATCGGCATTGTCACAACTTGTTAACAAGCTTGCTACAAGCCTGTTGAAAACACATCTTGTTGACAAGTTGTTGGAACAGCATTGTCACAACTTGTTAACAAGCTTGCTACAAGCCTGTTGAGAACATATCTTGTTAACAAGTTGTTGGAGCAGCATTGTCACAACTTGTTAACAAGCTTGGTACAAGCCTGTTGAGAACATATCTTGTTAACAAGTTGTTGGAACAGCATTGTCACAACTTGTTAACAAGCTTGCTACAAGCCTGTTGAGAACATATCTTGTTGACAAGTTGTTGGATTGGCATTGTCACAACTTGTTGACAAACTTGTTACAAGGCTGTTGAGAACATATCTTGTTAACAAGTTGTTGGAACAGCATTGTCACAACTTGTTAACAAGCTTGCTACAAGCCTGTTGAGAACATATCTTGTTAACAAGTTCTTGGATCGGCATTGTCACAACTTGTTAACAAGCTTGCTACAAGCCTGTTGAGAACATATCTTGTTAACAAGTTGTTGGAACAGCATTGTCACAACTTGTTAACAAGCTTGCCAGAAGCCTGTTGAGAACATATCTTTATTTATTTATTTATTTAGCTTTGCCAACTAGGGCAGGGTCACCACAACAGCATATGCCAATTACTGTGGGCCCTTTTTTTACCTAACCCGCCCTGTCAACTTTCCCTGTGGGAGGAAACCGGAGTACCCGGGGAAAACCCACGGCTTTCGGCAGAGCGTTGACTTTTACTCTTTTCACATGGGGACTGGGTTCGAGTCGCACTGAGAAGGTACTTAGTGAGACTCGAACCTGCAGCCTCAGAGGTGAAAGGCAAGTGCGCTAACCACTTGGCCACCGAAGCCCCCATCTTGTTGACAAGATGTTGGAACAGCATTGTCACAACTTGTTAACAAGCTTGCTACAAGCCTGTTGAGAAGATATCTTGTTGACAAGTTGTCGGAACAGCATTGTCACAACTTGTTAACAAGCTTGCTACAAGCCTGTTGAGAAGATATCTTGTTGACAAGTTGTTGGAACAGCATTGTCACAACTTGTTAACAAGCTTGCTACAAGACTGTTGAGAACATATCTTGTTAACAAGTTGTTGGAACAGCATTGTCACAACTTGTTAACAAGCTTGCTACAAGCCTGTTGAGAACATATCTTGTTGACAAGTTGTTGGAACAACATTGTCGCAACTTGTTAACAAGCTTGCTACAAGCCTGTTGAGAACATATCTTGTTGACAAGTTGTTGGATCGGCATTGTCACAACTTGTTAACAAGCTTGTTATAAGCCTTTTGAGAACATATCTTGTTAACAAGTTGTTGGATCGGCATTGTCACAACTTGTTAACAAGCTTGCTAGAAGCCTGTTGAGAACACATCTTGTTGACAAGTTGTTGGAACAACATTGTCACAACTTAATAACAAGCTTGCTACAATCCTGGTGAGAACATATCTTGCTAGCAAGTTGTTGGAACAGCATTGTCACAACTTGTTAACAAGCTTGTTACAAGTCTATTGAGAACATATCTGGTTAACAAGTTGTTGGATCGGCATTGTCACAACTTGTTAACAAGCTTGCTACAAGCCTTTTGAGAACATATCTTGTTGACAAGTTGTTGGATCGGTATTGTCACAACTTGTTAACAAGTTTGCTACAAGCCTGTTGAGAACATATTATGTTGACAAGTTGTTGGAACAGCATTGTCACAACTTGTTAACAAGCTTGTTACAAGTCTGTTGAGAACATATCTTGTTAACAAGTTGTTGGAACAGCATTGTCACAACTTGTTAACAAGCTTGCTACAAGCCTGTTGAGAAGATATCTTGTTGACAAGTTGTTGGAACAGCATTGTCACAACTTGTCAACAAGCTTGCTACAAGCCTGTTGAGAAGATATCTTGTTAACAAGTTGTTGGAACAGCATTGTCACAACTTGTTAACAAGCTTGCTACAGGCCTGTTGAGAACATATCTTGTTAACAAGTTGTTGGAACAGCATTGTCACAACTTGTTAACAAGCTTGCCAGAAGCCTGTTGAGAACATATCTTGTTGACAAGATGTTGGAACAACATTGTCACAACTTGTTAACAAGCTTGCTACAAGCCTGTTGAGAAGATATCTTGTTGACAAGTTGTTGGAACAGCATTGTCACAACTTGTTAGCAAGCTTGCTACAAGGCTGTTGAGAACATATCTTGTTAACAAGTTGTTGGATCGGCATTGTCACAACTTGTTAACAAGCTTGCTACAAGCCTGTTGAGAACATATCTTGTTGACAAGTTGTTGGAACAGCATTGTCACAACTTGTTAACAAGCTTGCTACAAGCCTGTTGAGAACATATCTTGTTAACAAGTTGTTGGAACAGCATTGTCAGAACTTGTTAACAAGCTTACTACAAACCTGTTGAGAACATATCTTGTTAACAAGTTGTTGGAACAGCATTGTCAGAACTTGTTAACAAGCTTACTACAAACCTGTTGAGAACATATCTTGTTAACAAGTTGTTGGAACAGCATTGTCAGAACTTGTTAACAAGCTTACTACAAACCTATTGTAAACACATCATGTTGGCAATGGCAAGTTGTTGGAACAGCATTGTCACAATTAAAACATGATTATATCAGACATGTTAGAGCAACCTTGTGACAAGTCTGATAATGCCATCAAGCTTGCTAGAAGCCTGTCGCAAACACGTCTTGTTGGCACGTTGTTGGAACAACATTGTCACAATTTAATCTTGATTATATCAGACCTGTTAGAACAACCTTGTTACAAGTCTGATAATACCATCAAGGTGTTAACAATTTGTTAACAGCTTGTTCCAAACTTGCTATAACAACTGGGAAGAAGCAGTGCGAACAAAACTTGTCGATTGCTTGTGAACAGATTTGTAACAACTTGTTGGTAGACCTGTAACAACTTGTACATTTTAATTATTCTAAATCTAATGAATATTTTGTAGACTGCTGATTGAAAAACTACCTCACCATTCTCAGTACAAACAAATAACTCCGCTGAACAGGGCTGAAGCAAAAAAGGTAATATGGTTGAGCACCTAGTACTATTTAAAACATTGAGCAGCCGATCTTTGTGTGATATACAAACCATGAAAGCATTAGACTAGTCCTACTATCTGACTAAGTTTGAACGAAAAATGTTGAAAACTCGCAGAGTTATTTAATATAATACATTTCGCTGCAATAAGAAAAACATTGAAAATGTAATATTCAAATTCAATTTTCTCCCGAAGAATTTTACGGTAATTACTGATTTTCAAACGAGTTGTTCTCCTGCGGGTTTTAACCAATTTTTCTCAAATTTTTACAGGACATAGTTAAAGACGTCAGTTTCAAAATAGTGTTCGGCTTTTGTTTAATTTTGGATATACTATTTAAAGCACGCGTAGGAGTGTTTTATCACATTGTATAAAACACGACGCGTAGCGGAATGTTTTATATGTGATAAAACACGTCTACAAGTGCTTTAAATGGCTTCAAAAACGACTCATCTGATACGAGTTCATTGGCGAAGTAATTTTTAAAATAAACTTTGTCTAAACCGAGAAAATCAAAGCTAAAGTTTATGTAAATTAACATGATTTTTTATCACATATAAAACCACGACACGCGCTTATGATTTTTCTTTGTGTTTTCCTCCTGAATTAATGAGTTTTTGAAATTTTAATAATAAAGAGCAATTCACTCAAACAATTCAGAAATATATTGCAGTCGTCAAAGAAATCGCCATATCAGCGGAATGACGAAATAAACAAAAATTTCCGAACACAATTTTTTAGAACATCTATTTTACTGTATAAAAATGATATTTTCATAAATATAACTTAAAACCAGCAGGAGCACAACTCAAAAGCGTAACGGTACCGCGATTTAAGATTTTCCTGAATAATTCTTACATTATTTTATTGTTTTTTAATTTTACAACTTTACCATATTTTACATGCACTGGCGAACATTTGGTGAAAATTTGATTAAAATCGGACTGATTTTGAGCGCGCAGTAGCGATTTTCCGCAAAACGCCAAAAAGGTTGAAATAATTATAGCAATGGCCCAAAATCTAAGGGCATTGCTGTAATAAGTTTCGTACAGGATTTTGTATCTAGGAGACTTAAAACTATAAAATATATGTGTGGCTTTTTTGCAGCGAGTTACTCGGGCATTTAAAAGAGCCGAAGAATTAAAGGAAATTTTAAGGAAAAAATACGGAGAAGAGCTTGAAATTTGGAAAGTCAAGGAATTTGAAAGGGTAATGACTGTTGTCCACTCTGGTTTCTTCCTGTAGCAAGTTAAAACACTGGATCAATAAGAGATAATCTTTACTGGAACTCTTGGGAAAACGTTTTAGAACTGATAGAGCTATCCAGTATAAATGAAGTTAGTTTACTTTAGGTTTCCTCCTGTAGTAATACTGGATCAATAAAAGATGATCCTTACTGGACCTCTAGGAAGAACAGTTTAGATCTGATAGAGCTATCCAGTATAAATAAAGTTAGTTCAGTTTAGGTTTCCTCCTGTAATAACACTGGATCAATAAGAGATGATCCTTACTGGACCTCTAGGGAGAACAGTTTAGAACTGATAGAGCTATCCAGTATAAATAAAGTTTGTTTAGTTTAGGTTTCCTCCTGTAGTAACACTGGATCAGTAAGAGACGATCCTTGCTGGATCTCTAGGAAAAACAGTTTAGAACTGATAGAACTATCCAGTATAAATAAAGTTATTGCTTTTTAATTAATTTTTTATACTTGTAGATAAAGTTGGAAGAAGAAGAAAGGGAAAAAGCAAAACTTCGCCAACAAGAAAAAGAACACGCGGAACAACAAGAATTAGAACGACAAAAACAATTAGAACAACAGAGACGAGATGAAAACGAACGTTTGGTTGCAAATAGCCTAAACCTAAACTAAACTAACTTTATTTATACTGGATAACTCTATCAGTTCTAAACTGTTCTCCCTAGAGGTCCAGTGAGGATCATTTCTTATTGATCCAGTGTTACTACAGGAGGAAACCTAAACTAAACTAACTTTATTTATGCTACATAGCTTTATCAGTTCTAAACTGTTCTCCCTAGATATTTATACTGGAAAATCTATAAATCTATATCTTCTTTATTTAGAACAATTCCTAGTATTGACAGAACTAAGAAGCCAAGTTGGTTAGGTGAGTTTGAATATTTTGTGAAAATTTAATATTTTTAATGTTAATATTTTAGTTTTAATATCTTTATTATTTTGTGAGGCAAAACACAACTTTTGGTCCATTTATGAAAAAACAAATTCTGCATGGGCATGTGTAATTGGCACGGACGAACTTGGGCGAAAGAGAGTTAATTCGTCTGATAATTTGTTCCAGTTGTTGACAAGTCTGGAACAAGTTGTTATCATCTTGTAACAAGGTTGACGAGGCCAACAGACTCGCAACAAGTTGTTCCAACAAGTCTGATATCGTCTGCACGTAACAAGTTGTTAACCAGTTGATGACAACAAGCTCGTAGCAACTTATTACGAACAGTCTGTATTAGTCTTGTTGAATCAACTTGTAGCAAGTCTGTTACCGTCATCAACCTTGTAACAAGGTGATAACAACTTTGTTCCAGACTTGTCGCAACAACTGGGAACAAGCAGTGCGAACACATCCTATTGCCCTAAAGTTGTTATGCTTTATATTCGTTCTTTGGTCTAGAGTCAACATGCTTTTTATATTTCTCATCTCGTCATTCCGAAGCAAACATCGACTTCTGATTCCTGTACAACGCTTAGTGAGGAGGATATATTTACTTACCAAGATTCTCATAACTTAATCACTCTCGGTTGGATCCATGTAAGTACATTAGACTCAGTCACACATTAATTGTTTCTGCGGACATTTCAAGCTCCAGATTAATAAAATAAAGGGTTGACGAGTGTTCCAATTATGTTTTAACTTACTGTACGCCAAGATGAGAGTTGAGAAGGAAGAGTTTGCATGAGAGTTTTCTTAACTTTCATTGCTTCATCGAACGAGAACAATTAGAATTGCATGAGAGTTGACAAGCGAGACTTTACATGAGAGTTTTCTCAACTTGCATTCCTTGATCAAACGAGAACAAGAGTTGCATGAGAGTTGACAAGTGAGACTTTACATGAGAGTTTTCTCAACTTGCATTCCTTGATCAAACGAGAACAAGAGTTGCATGAGAGTTGACAAGTGAGAGTTTACATGAGAGTTTTCTCAACTTTCATTGCTTGATCAAACAGAACAAGAGTTGCATGAGAGTTGACAAGCGAGAGTTTACATGAGAGTTTTCTCAACTTTCATTGCTTGATCAAACAGAACAAGAGTTGCATGAGAGTTGACAAGCGAGAGTTTACATGAGAGTTTTCTCAACTTTCATTGCTTGGTCAAACGAGAACAAGAGTTGCATGAGAGTTGATAAGCGAGAGTTTGCATGAGAGTTTTCTCAACTTTCATTGCTTCATCAAACGAGAACAAGAGTTGCATGAGAGTTGACAAGCGAGAGTTTACATGAGAGTTTTCACAACTTTCATTCCTTGATCAAACGAGAATAAGAGTTACATGAGAGTTGATGAGAGTTGAGTGGATATTTCCACGCGCGTGGCGAAAATTCTCATCAACTCTGATTAATTTCTTATGTTTATTTATTTATTTATTTAGACTCATCCATCGCAAACAGCATTTATGTCGAGTATAGATCTTCACACGCATTGTTCATACCAACTGATGCTGCCCGAAGCAATCGCCATCGTCTGCGCGCCCAAACACTCGCAGTAAGTTTTTGTTAAACCATAAAGGTCCGACACACTTACCGATAACTTTGATCCTTTTTTATCCTAGTTTAAATTTTCCAAACATTTAGAAGCGTTATAACATTTTGAGTTATTATGCTAAAAGAAGAGATTTTTAGATGGTACGCCAAGAGAAAATTATGTCTGAATCGAAGTTCAGTAAGTGCTGATATTGCTGTATAAATACGGCGTCAATTTTACAGCACGAATGACAATTGTATTTAAATTGACAATATTTAACTATTATTTTGTGTTTCTTTCGAAATTCGAGCTTCAAAATTCTTCCACATACAAAAATATGCTTTTAGCTTATAAAGCTTGTTTATCGACTGGGTATAAAGTAGCTTCTCTGTTGATTTTCAGAACTGGGATGTACTCACTGACAGAGGAACACGGATTGAAATTTATCGCTGCTTGCAAGCTGCAGGGATTTCACCCTCATCCCAAAGAACCCCCAATATACAAGGTGAGGTATTCTACACGCACTGTAAATTTTAAGGAATGGACGGTTCAAGCTATAGATGAAACGAAACCATTAGCATAGCTGGAAAGAGCATCTTAAAATGAGTAAAATTGCAAAGTTTGGTTGCGAATTGTTGTAAAATGAGGAAAATATATAGCCCTGTGAAGTTCGAACATTTTGTGTATATTTCCATTACGCGCGGGAAAAATAACCTGCATTTTTGAACCGAAAGTGTTTTTTTTTTACCGCGCGTAAAACAGAGGGGACTTTCGTCGACGCTGCATAAAAATAGTGCGGGCTGGTGAGCTTTTTCCCGAAAATTTTGCTTTTCGATGTTTGGCGTACGTTTGGTGTATTCTATGATATGATTAATCATTCTATATGTAATCATATCATCGAATACACTGATATCGAAGGAACTAGACTCAGTTCCGAAATATCATCAACTCAAACCGACTTGACCGACGTAGCTCAGTTGGCAGAGCATTCAGCATTGGACTAGTATCCCAAAGGTAGCGCGGGTCCTATTCCCACCGTGGCCAAGCTAACTTTTCAGCTTGCCCGCTGTGGATCACACTCAGAGTAACATCACAAACATCATATTCACCTGAGTACATATTTACACAACACTAACACACACAAAATAATAATTAAGGAGTCCAAAGCACCTGGTCCAGACAAAATTCCAGTTCCTAGTTGGTTTCTAAAAACGTTTAGCTACAAGTATTTATACTCGCGCCGAACCAGGATCCCATTTAATCAATTAATTCGTCCTTTCAAAAACAAATTTTACAAACTATACATTGAAAAAAGGATCGTCATTCCATTACCCAAGAATCAGAACATTGAAGAATTTAATAAAGATCTCAGACCAATATTTCTTACGCCTACCCTGTCAAAAATCACTGAAGGCTCAGCTATATGTATCCATTGACATATTTCTCCATATTTTCCACTGATATTTGAGCAATTTGCTCGCGCATTTGTGTTCTAGGATTCTGGTCATATCAACTTGGACGGAGCATCTTCTATTGTTGTCGCAGATCTCAGGTGAAACGATATCGTCGAAGAAGAAATTCTAAACTGAAATTTCTAATCGGTGCGTTGGAATTCGAACGAAGTATTTATAAGCTGGTGAACTGAATATTATGATATTATCAAGACGATACTCCAGACAGGGGCTGGCGATGCAAATTGCAAAATAGGCTGTTTTGCGAAATAGTCCTGTGTGCTGTTTTTTATTGTAGACTGGGATATCTCGACGCACGAACAGCTTGACAAGGTCCCGAGAGCTATGAGCAAATGGATGGCTCAATAATGCTTGGCAACCTCAAAGCGTAACGTGGAATATAATATCTAGAAGAATATAAAATAATCTATATCATAATCTATAATGTGGATATTGCAAATTATGTATATAAAATCGTTGGTCTTAGTTTCTGTTGGCATTCAATATGTCTGCAAATACACACGCAAAACTCTCACATCTTGTAGCAAGTCTGTCAACAAGTTGTGTTCGCACTGCTTGTCCCAAGTTGTCAACAAGTTTGGAACAAGCTGTTAACAACTTGTAACAGCTTTGTTGATATTATCAGACTTGTTGCAAGGTTGTTCCAACAAGTCCGATACAGTCATGATATAACAATATTGTTACAACCTTGTGTCGTCAACCTTGTAACATTCTTGTTAAATCATGACTGTATCAGACTTGTTATAGAACAGCCTTGTAACAAGTCTGATAATGCCATCAAGCTTGTTACAAATTGTTAACAGCTTGTTTCAAACTTGTTGACAACTTGGGACAAGCAGTGCGAACAGTGGCGTAACGTTATATCAGGGGGCCCCCGGTTCAAAATTTTCGAAGACCCCCTAATAGAAGTGCCAAAGGCACGAGTCGAGCGCCGTATATGCACGAGTTTTCTAGGGGGTCCAGGGCATGCTCATCCGGAAAATTTTTGAATCTAGACTCTCTGAAATGCCATTTCCTGGACTTTGGGGAGAGATTTTACAGAATTCTGATGGTCAGAAAACGACATTGTAACATATCAGAGGCCTGGCCAATGTTTTTGCTCTATCGCCTAAGTTTGGGGGGCCCCATTGGGGTTGGGGGCCCCCGGGTTCTCCCGGTCTGAGCCCATAGTAGTTACGCCACTGAGTGCGAACATAACTTGTTGGCAGACGGCTTGTTGCTGCAAGATGCAAGATTTTTACGCGTGTAGGATTTCCGGCGCGACTTTTTTAGCGCGGGATTTTAAACAAATTAAACGCAAATTTTGGGAAACAAACTAACAAAGATGGCGGCGAAGATTTTGCATTTTCCACGATATTCACGATTTCCTAAAGGTTTTGCGATTCCTTTTGGGCAATTTATTTCGAAAAGAAAGCCCAGATATAGTTCCTCGAGTTCTGAAGTTAGATCTCAGGTATGTAGAGCATAGATATCGCGATGTAGAGTCTATTATTCATGCATACGTTTGCAGAATGAATTAAGTTTACAAGCTAGGGAGGGGCCATTCCATTGAATGTTTATCCCCCTCCCCCCCGATGGACGAAAATTTTTGAGGGAGGTTAGGGGGGGGGGGGACGCCTTGATCTGAATATTGAACAAAAATTTTCATTCAGTATATTTCCTTGAATTTTAAGACGATCTTAGAACGTCTGAATGCAGGGGAAATCTTGATCGGCGATGGAGGTTATATCACTGAAATGGAACGACGTGGTTATGCCACAGCTGGTTTATGGACTCCCGAGGTTAATGTCGAGCATCCTCATGCTGGTATGTTTATCTATAATCATCAACATTACATCCTTCATATATTATCATCATCATTACCAGTGGCGGAAATCTTGGTGGGGGAGGGGGCGCCCCCCACTTTAACAGAAAATTGATGAATTTTCAGAAATGTAAATTTTTACTTAAAAGACGGCTAAAAACAGTCTTTTCAAGTGCAATTGGGGGGTTTGTTGGAAATTTGAAAGTTTTGTCGGAAATTTAGGAGGCTTTGCCCCCCCCCCTGAAAAAAGTGAATTTCCACCTCTGACCATCATCACCATTGTCATCACCATCATCATCACCATTATCATCATCATCACCATTATCATCATCACCATTATCATCATCACGATCATCACCATCATCATCATCACCATCATCATCATCACCGTTTAATCATCATTATCACCATCATCACCATCGTCATCACCATCATCACCATCATCATCACCATCATCATCACCACATCATCATCACCGTTTGATCATCACCGTCATCACCATCATCATCATCACCGTTATCATCATCACCATTATCATCATTATCACCATTATCATCATCACCATCATCACCACCATCATTATTATCATCATCATCATCATCATCACCACTATTCTGGTTTTCTCCTGTGGTAACACGTGCTCCTTACTAGACCTCTAGGGAGAACAGTTTAGAACTGATAGAGCTATCCAGTATAAATAAAGTTAGTTTCTGTTGGTGTCCCAAAGAAAATGTAAAAACAGGGCCGTAGGAACTTGGGGGGAGGGGGCGGCAATAATTTGCTAATAATCATTCTTTTTTCAAAATCATACAGACCTTTATCATTTAAATAATATACCTTTAAAACACTGACAATTGATTAATTTTAAGCGGTTACATTATCCATGACAAACTGCAAAGAATGAAGATGTTACCCACACTTTCCTGTAACTTATCCAATATATAGTTAATTAAATACACTTTTGCCCATTTAGTACTACTAAATTGTAAACAAATTGTAAATTTCGACATACTAAAACGCTGTTTTCTGACCAACAGAATTCTGTCAAATCTTCCCCAAAGTCCAGGAAATGGCATTTCAGAGACTCTAAATTTAAAAATTTCCTCGGGCCTTTGGCCTTCGATATATATATATATTATATATATATAT